TCACATTACGATTTTAATTAATCATTTATTATATTATTAAATCATTTCAATTATTACACTATTTAATTAAAAATCATAAAAGTATTCTAAATAATTTTTAGTCTGTAATTGAAACATATAAGTCCTAGTGACCTTAGAATACTTTGATGATTTTTAAATAGTGTAATGATTGGAATAATTTTATGTTCCATAATTTTTCACATTTTTTTTGTTCAAACTATATTCATGCTAAGTTCAAATGTTACATTTTTTTATGTAATTTTATTGAAACTTTTTCTAATAAATCTAACAAAAAAATTAGTAGGAGGCTTCATGTTCCTTTAGCGTCACAAAAATATGTATTTATATATATATCCTACTAATGAAAGCTCCTATCTTTTTGAATCAATATTACAGAAGATTCTATTTCAATTTTGGCCATCAAGATATTATGATAAAAATTATTGTTTTTTACATAAACTTCAATTTTATTTCAATCGACACAAACTAGAGCGATTCTGAATACATGTACGCAACAATACGATATTAATTGCAAAAAAACGGAATTCCAGAACGTTTCATCTGCACTTAAAATAAAATAATGTCTTGGGTTCACTTTTCTATGTCAAATCAACCGCATATGTACTGCAAATATATCATAAATGAGCATAAATTTCGTAAGGAATTTATTTTATCGTCTATCCCAGTTATTTTTCCAGCAACTGTAACTGTAATATTAACAATGACGAATGGTTCACTTGAACGACCAAAAGTTAAGCAGCTTTGATCATAATTTGTGTCAGAATGAATGACTATGTAGAAACACCGAGTTGATAGCGATGTTCGCGCTGTACTGCTTTCCTTGCACGAATAAATAATTGCCCGAATATTTTTTACAATGAATAATTAACAAGAATAATTAACTTCTATAATGCGCAATAAAATAACAAATATATACAATCACAGTAACAATACACTCGTATAATCCTCAACAATAAACTATGTCGAATGAACAGATACATTCTATGCAAATGCAAATAAGAATAAATTTCGCAAAGATTATTATATTTATTTTAACGCTGTCCCAGCGCTAATTTTTAAATCTCGAAAAATAAAAATTCTGGCGGAGAGGAAAATTGCTTCTTCATGTCAAAATGCACGCAATGTAAGATTACGACGCGACTACTGCGTGCAATATATATGTCAGAGGCAAGATATATTCCTCGTTTTTCTAAGAATACACATTTATTTTCACTCTCGCGTGAAATCACTGTAAGTGATAGAGGCAACGATCACACATGGATTTTATTTATTCGTAGAATTTATCATAAAATGGACGAATTGGCATTTCATTCATTTATGATAATTGCCTGTATATTTCCCTTGATGTCTAAAATAATTGATAAAAAACACATTGCTCATTTTGCTACATTCTGTTACAATAATGACATAATTCTAAAATTATCTATAAATGTTTTTGTTAATACAAGAAAATAACGCAAATTAAAAAAAATAAACAAATATATTTTTTAAAATACATACTTTTATTCTTTTATAATCGGTTATTACACCAAAATTGCATTTTAAAATTAATACTGCAAAATTTTAATAATTCAAAATATTCAAAATGTTTCCCTTAGAAAACATTATTTTTTATGTTGTGTTGTTATATAGTAAATAAGCAAAACATATACAAACGTAACATTAATTTCATTGTTATCGATTACGTCTGCAGTGTCGCTTGTATTCTGTAACGCTTGCAATCGTATGTTTTTTAAAAGAAATAAATATATATCCAATTTATAGAAATTTATAAAAATTTATTAATTAAATAATTATTCTTTGAAGGCGTATGAGTGTTTTCTATATAAGTTTTCTTATGTAAAATCACGTTACAATTGAAACCTACTTTCAAACCCTATTTTCAAAATATTTAAAAATATTGAAACCCTACTTTCAAAATAATCCTGCAATATTTTATTTACATACGATTTTCATCTTAAAATTCGTCTTTTCTCGAAAGCCAATTTGAAACTCGAACTTGAAGCAAAGAGTATGTGTATCCGCTCATAGTAATTAAACTGTGAAACAGCCGCTCTATGTACATATAAAGATGACGAGCGGCCTTTGCAAATCAGTTTAGAAACGAACTGAAGTTTGATTTGCGCAATTTGAGAACGATGATCTCAAGCGCAATGATAAAGTCCAACTCGTGAGATTTGCTCGTTGAAGGCCGCGGGCATCCACATATACATAACGGTGAAATTTCGCGCTCTCATGATTGTAGGACGAGTTCCAGCACTCTCATAGTTCCACGTGGATGAATCTCAAGGCATCGATTCCTTTGGAGGAGTGTAAACGACAGGAAACCGCTATTCCTAAAAACGATACTATTCCCGCGGATCTCGAGAAAGTTTTCGCATGATAGATAAATTGATCTTCGGAATTTTGTGAGTTTTACAGGCGACCTAGTTTCTCGGATGATTTAAATTCTGGAAGAAGTTTGACTAATATATAAAAAAATTGTTCCCTTTTCTATAAAGGTATCATAACTCATAACACATCGCGGATTTTATCTTCAACTATTGTGCTAAATTCTTAATTACAAAGACAATTTTTAATCGATTAAAAGATATTTATATACCTTACGTATTTTTACATGTAGATACATATCTTTTTATATACATTAAGTATTAGAGAATTAAGAACGTTTATATATTTATTCATAAATAAATAACAAGAATAAATATAATTATATTGCTGATATACATCGAGCTAACAAATAAGCAAATGTATGTATAAACAGTTACACATGATGAACAAGCAAAATGTACAAATAAATTTAACAAGAGGGATATTAAATGGATTACTGATATTAATTTCTCTACAGCTTTAATTAATATTTGAGTTGAAGAATGATATACTAACGATTCGTCAAAACGGGATATTTATTATTAAGGTATTTATTCCAAAACAAAAAATAAAGGGAACGTAATTCTTAGCATAGTCCACGAGAATATTGGGATAGCTAGGAATTAAAAAAAATAGGAAAATCCTTGAAAAAGTAACCCACGATTTATCCTGTTTTTGCAAGGACAGCAAGTCTCAATATCACGAAAAGTGCAGCCATGCGGATAAGTTCACAAAACAGCTTTAAATTTTTCTCGCCTGCGGGAAAGGACAAGTACAGAGAGTAAAATCGCCGCGATGGTCGGGAACAGTGGCAGGTTCGTAATCGTAATATAACCGCTCCTAAATGCTGAGTTAATGATCAAATCCGCAAGGGAAAATTCTCAGACGTGGAACGAACGAGGTTGGAGAAGCGAGCAAGGTGATGACGGTAAGACGGCGCGGGATTAAATTCGTGCACAGTTTGTAATTTGCACGCGGCGTTTTCCCCCGACTCCCATTCTCTTCCTTCTCGGGACCGAGATTAAAATGCAAATCCGAACTTGAAATCATGGAATTTAAGATATGATTGTCACAAACGTCGTCAAGACACAGCTTGTTTACTCACAGAGTCTCCAGATTCACGATCCTGTAATGCGCCAGGTATGTATGACGATACAGCTGAAACAAAAATAGGATATTTCTTCATTCAATTTGTTAAAATTAGTAGATTGAAAGTAATGAAAGGTCAAATATAAAGTTATTCCTTGCAAAATTCGATTATCTTTTCGGTCTAACATCACAAGGCAAATATTGTATTCATTGGATTTTTAAATGTAACTTTTTTTAAATAAAAGTTATAAACACGTTTATAGACACGTTTAATAAAAAAAAGTTCTTTTTTATTTTTTTTTTTCGTAATAATTGAGACATTTAGGTTTTATAAAATATTATTTCAAACTCAGTCGGCGACGCGTCGATCATGTCCGAAGTTACTCGAGCGGTTTATGATGTTGCAATGTTACATGCTATATATGGTATCTCTTGATATCTCGATCTTTTAATAGGAATGACAACGATTAAAATATATAGAACGTGTTTTCCCTTCCTGTGACAATACAATCAAAAGTACATCAAATAAAGTGCAATAGTACACAAGACGTGAAATTTTTGTTTTGGAGCACCATAATTACGAAAATATTATTAATTTCAGAAATAATGGTTTGATGTCGTTCGGAAAGATAAAAATAGCAAATTGAATCTTCTTTTGTGAAGATTATTTCAATGTACGTAAACATTTCTACTAATAAATATGTTAAACTGTCAAATTGTAATTTTTTTGATAGCATTTCATCTATTAATAACTCCTTATCTAATTTCTTGTGTGCATAAAAAATTTTTTATTACAATATAAATAATATCAATTCTTCTCGCTCGTATAACTTATAACAAATTAATAAATAGTGAAACTCATGTCAATACTAAACAATACAATATTAAACGAGCTATAGTTAGATGTATCAAATAATATTTATTAATCACAAATTATAATTTTCCGATGATAAGTTTCAATAGTACGTTTCGACTATGCATAGCCTTATCAGAAATATATAAATACCCTAACATCTAATTATATTAACATATCATGAGGATCATCTCACATTCGAGTTACAATAAATAATATAATAGATTTTTAAGAAATCATCTTACCTTCGTGTTACAAAAGATGATATATCGCAATCATATCACGTAGTCAAACTTGATAAATAATAAACGTAGTAAAGAGTCATAATTCTGGACCAATTCATCGGTTAGTGAGAAGACAGTCAATATGAATAAAAGAATAAATTCCAATCGTAGCTTGATGTCAGATCATATAAATGGTTGTATGTACATCCTTAATAATATTAGTAGATAAATTAAATGGAATAAATTATCATCAAAATTGATGCTATAAAAAAAATTACAGTTTGTAACTTAAAAACTTTTAACGATTAAAAAATACGTGGATGACATAATTATGACGATCCCCATCGATCATATTTCATCTATCCAGACTTTCAATAGTATACACAAAAGGTTACAATTCACTATTGCAGGGATCGGCAAAATACTGAAATTGGGCACGGGCGCCCGCGAACGCCCGCGAATACTCGGCTATTGTGCATGTCTATAGTCAACTTCATTCACAACACACTTATTTCGCATAATCAATTGTAATCGTCAATCAAGTACTACTTACGAAGTGTTATCATTGTTATAAATTAGAAACGTTTATTCGAAACATACATCGTTATTATTTTATATTAATTCTGAGTTATCTAAATTTGTATAAAAAAATATTCTTTAATACTTTGCCTAAACGGTGAAATTGTTTATTTTTTTTGATAATTTTATATTATATATAAATATATATTTTATATTATGTATAAAATGTCTATATACGTTTTTTTTCTCTTTTATAATCGCTGTTCAACATATTAGAAAAATATTAAAAATTGAAAAATAATTAGAACAATTTTTGTTTTATTTTACTTATTTTTTTTCTATTACACATTTACATATATAACACATTTACATATAAACCAAAATTATACAAGAGAAAGAAAATGCGTCTTCCATGTAATACCCCTTATTATTTTTCCTCATATCATTTATTGCTCAAAGACGTTCAATATGACTATTGTCCATGGGAAGCTAGGCGCTCGCGAGCAATACTAATCTATCGATCCCTGCACTATTGAATATGAAAAAAACCATAGTATAAGTTTTTAGACTTGTTATTTAAAGTGACAGATTGTGTGATAACTAGATTTCAAAAAAAGACGTATTTTGGCAGATATCTTCCATTTTTGTCTAATCACTCTCTTGTATTATAAGATCGGTACCGCCTGTACAGTTTAGTGAATCGAGCAATTTATTATCACATCCTAAGTTTTATAAAAAAAATTTAGAAATGTGCATTCATACTCTTTTAACAACGTCCGTTAAATTTAAATTTGTTCAATACAAGAATAAAAAAGTTGCTCTCAACAAAAGTTCCACGCAAGAAAGACAACATTTCTGCCAACATAATAAAGTAATTTATAACAAGAAAAAGTTTTTTTATACTTCTATTTATCCACAGAATCAGCCACGCGTCATGTACACGCATGATTAGTAAAATCAGTTAGTAAATCAGTGTATAGTATAGGTTACAGATATATTAGGTGTACAACTTTGCTTCCGCCGTTTTTTTTCTGAAATTCGAGGCTTTATTGTAAAAAACTGGTTATACATTTATGATTCAAAGTATTGTCTATCACTGGTCATTACTTTCTCCCATCTTTCGGATAGCGTACGAATCCTGCGTCGAAAAAACTGATCATCTTTTGAGGCTATCCACGAATCGATCCAATTTTTTACTTCTTCATAAGACCGGAAGTGCTGGTCAGCCAGGCCATGTGTCATTGATCGAAACAAGTGATAGTCAGAGGGAGCAACGTCTGGAGAATACGGCGGGTGGGGTAGGACTTCCCATTTCAACGTTTCCAAGTATGTTTTCACCACTTTCGCAACATGGGGTCGAGCATTGTCATGCTGCAAAATCACTTTATCGTATCTCTCGTTGTATTGCGGCCGTTTGTCTTTCAATGCTCGGCTCAAACGCATCAATTGCGTTCGATACCGATCGTCTGTGATTGTTTCAGTCGGTTTTAACAGTTCATAATACACTACGCGGAGCTGGTCCCACCAAATAGAGCATGACCTTGGACGTCAAAATCACCGTTCTTGAAGCGTTGAAACCACTCACGACACGTTCTTTCACTAATAGCGGCCTCACCATAAGTATTTGAGAGCATTCGATGAGTCTCAGTCGCAGATTTCTTCATATTGAAGCAAAAAATTAAAACCTCCCGCAAATGACGAGAATTTGGCTCGTAAACTGACATTTTCAATCGAGAATAACTTTATGCAGACACAAATCGACTAATGTTTCTATGGAGTTATGTTGACAGATGCCCAAGTTTATTGTATGATGTCTATGATCTATTTATTTCGACCACCACTTACCGCTAAAGCCATCTATAGGAAAACGGCGGAAGCAAAGTTGTACACCTAATATTAACAAATTGAACAAATTATAAAAGCGCATCAAGACAAAAAAATAATTTCTGAAAATAATAATATAATTTATAAGATCCAATGTAACAATTGTGACGTTTCTTATGTAGAACAGATGAAGAGGAAATTCAATATGACAATAAATGAACATATTAAAAATATAAAGCTTGATTCATCTAAACATTCGATTATAATGGAACATATATTACAATACAATCATAATTTTGATTGGAAAAATGTTAGAATAATGGATACGGAATCAAATTATAATAAAAGACTAAAGTTCTGATTGATCGAGGAGTGAAGGGTGTGGATAATAGGATAATTAAACGATGTGTTCTGATTGGCTCGCCTTATACTTGACAAAGATTTGATTGGTTCGCACTTACCCACAAGGTGATTGGGGAAGGGGGGGTGATAGAGGATCTCACAAAGTGGAGGATAAAGTACGAAAAAATGATGAGTGGAGATGGGGACTGTAACATTTTTTGTCGTGATGGTAAAGTCCGAACATCGGGGCATGAATAGCGGGCATTTTAGTGAATGTTTTTTATTTATGAGAGATGAAATCTTATATGAAAATTTGAAAGTCTAGAGAGAGTCTTATTTTTGCTAGAAAAAATGGGGGAGGTAAAACAAGAACGAACATATTCAACTGTAACGCGACGTGTCGTCTTCAGTGTGATGACTCATTCGTTCGAGCGAGAGTATTATATGATTTTTATGATGTATGACAAGAATTTTATGAATTTTGTTTTATTGTGCTTCTTGTACTTTATTTAAAAGTCTATGTTATACATATAATGGAAATATATAAAGAAAAAAGTTGATTATTGATTTGGAAGTTACGAATGATTAAGAAAAAATGAGGGATTATACAAAAATGTATTTATTGATACAAATTCTTTTTTTCAAAGAAGAAGAAATACATAGCAGAGAATAAATTAAAAAGAGTTTTTAAAAAAATTAAATCAAAGATTCTCGCTTCGAGAGAATTATATAAAAAAATTTCGTTATGTCTTAATGAAATTAATTCCAAAAATATTATATTGAAATATGTATAAAGAAAAGTTAAGTCGTTAATTTGTACGTACATTACGCTTTATATCTTCGTAATTACTTCGCAACGTTAATTTTATAATTTCCTGATTAATAAAACTTGCAGTTAGTTTCAGTTCCATTTCTTGAATTAAATATAGAGCACACTTGTTAACATTATCGAATAAAGATTCTAATTGTTTTAAACGCGCATCGACGCGCTTTACAGCGCTTTGCAGTCCTAGAAAGGCAGTTTTTTGCATTACAATTGCCGTTACGTAGGTTCTTCGTTTTTTTGCCAACGGAGTTGAATGATGTGCGTCCTCTTCTTTTCGAAGATTTCTGTTGGAATTTTTCTCTTCTTTTTTATACGCTAACAATATTGATTTTGCCCTATAAGATGTGGTAAAGCTGATGGTAATATTTTTTAACAATACATTAGGTTTCACTCTGTTATCGTTGCTTAAATATTCGTTCATGAGTCCCATATGATCTTGAAACTGTTACCAGCAGTCGGTGTCAATATAAATTCCGTCCGC